TGTGCCTCGGGCCACCCGCGTCCGGCTCGTTCGCTGCAGGTGAGGTTTTCCTCCGCGTGGAAGGCGCCCACGGCATCCCTCTGTGCCGCGGCGCGTGGCCACGCATCCCTTCTCAACGACCGGCGGCCGGCCGCTGGGCTTGGGTCCGCCGTGGGGGTCATGAGAGGGCGCTCCCACGAGCAGGGTCGTGCCACGCTCGGGCCTCCGGCTCTTCCACGGCGGCCGGCGCGTGGTCAGTCGGTCAGCCTTCAGTGACGACTGTCGTGTCGGGCGCTTGAGGGTGCCTCGCTGCGATTTGACTTCTGTACCGATGACGCGCGGCGTTCCCCGAATGCTTGCCGGCCCCGCGCGTGTGTCCTGGGCAGTGAGGTGCGTGCAGGCCCCTCCCCGCCTGTGGACGGCGTGGTGGTCTTCCCGTCCTTGGCTCCTAGACCAGCAGCTCAGCACGTGTGCGCCTGCTCCTGAGGCGTCAGCCAGGCGCCCGCCCGATGCCGGGGGACCAGAGAAGACTCTGGGTGTGGGTGTGGGCGTGTGCATCGGGTCGAGCCCAGGAAATGGCTCCCCGCGCGGGGTCCTGAGCGCAGTGACAGGATGCGCACAGAGCGGTGGAGCGCAGATGCGGGTGCCGCCCAGCCCGGGCAGTGAGCTCGGACGAGCGGAGGCGGGTTGGATCTTCAAGGGTGCACAGGAGCTCACCAGGGGGGATGAGCCGCGAGCCCGAGCGTGGAAGCAGCCCTGCCTGCCTTTCCTCCAGCAAGTGGGAGCACCTGGCCGCACCTGGGCCGGAGGTCGTGGGCACCAGGGCTGTGGTTTTCAGACACGGTCCCCCGTCTGGAGGATGAGTCGGGCCCGGTCATCGGGCCGCCCCTCAAGGCGGCCACGCGTGAGGGATCCGGACCGGGTCGCCGCGGGGCCTGGGCCAGTCTCAGAAGCCTCTATCGGGCAGCTGGGCTGGGGGATGCCGCAGGCCGGGACGCCGGCCTGCTCTCTCCTCCACGGGGAGCAGATCCGTCACGTGGGGGCGAGCCAACGCAGCCCCTCTCTGCAGCTTGCCCGCCCCCCTCGCTCACCCCCGCTCTCCCCTCGTGTGCCCCAGGAGGCTGCGGAGGAGGTGACGAGGCGCGTCCACTCGCTGTCGGGGAAGAAGGACGGGCTGGTGCCCATGTTCATCAACACCCACAGCGGCCTCTTCACGCACATGGGCGTGTTCACCTTGGGCGCCAGGGCCGACAGCTACTACGAGTACCTGCTGAAGCAGTGGATCCAGGGCGGAAAAAAGGAGACCCAGTGAGGCCGGTTTCTGCTGCGTTGGGGCGGGGTCCCTGCGGCTCCCGTGGTGCTGGGGTCTCGGTCAGGCGGCCGCAGCTGTGCGGGGCCCGCACTCGGCCCCTCCGCGGGGGATGCGTTTCTTCCAAGCACAGCCCATGTGCCGAGGAGCAGGGGACCTGGCTGGTCGCTGAGCCCCATGGCCCTTCCGTGCCAGGCAGGGCCCGCGGTCTGGGCCTGGCCGAGGGGCCCCCAGCTCACCAGCTGAGCGGTGCCCCCCCCGGGGTTGTGGAGGCCACCGCGTGCACGTGCTCCCCGGCGGAAGGCGGCCAGGAACACCTGGGCCTCCCGCGCTTACTGTCGGACGCTTAGAATACGAGCTTTCCCGGAGGGCGGCGCGATTCGTAGCTGTGTCCCACGGTGTGGAAGACAGAGCTCACCCTTGTGAGGGAACCGGAAATCCCCGAAGTCTCGAGCCTAGGGGTGGCCGCCACCCAGAACCCCCGGGGGCAGCTCCGGGCCGACCCCTGCGGGCAGGGACAAGGGTGTCACGCCTGGGGAGCCTGTGGGGTCGTCGGGGTCCTGGGGCTCTGCAGAGGCTAGGCTTGGGTGGCCCCTCGGGGCGGGTTGAGAGGAGCGACCCTCCTTGGGAGCAGAAGGCACAGCCCTATGCCCCACGCTGCAGCCGGCTGCGAGCCTCCCCCTCCGGGCTGGCCCGGCGCCACCCCAGACGGGGCCAGGCCTCTCGGCCACTAGCGTGTACGTGACAGCTCACGGCCGTGCGGCCCCTCCTGGGTGACCCGGGCGGGGGGGACCGTGCGCCCGCCTCGCTGGAGCTGACGGGGCCTGCCGCGCTCTGCCCAGGTTAGTGGAAGACTACCTCGAAGCCATCGAGGGAATCAAGAGGCACCTGCTGCGCAGGTCTGAGCCCAGGAAGCTCACCTTCGTGGGGGAGCTCGCCCACGGCCGCTTCAGCGCCAAGATGGTGAGCGTGTCCACGAGCCAGGTGGGGTGTCGGGGGCGGGGGGCTTCAGCACCCTCCCGCGTGTCCTGAACCGCGACGGATTTGTGAGTCAGGACGTCGCAGAGAGCGATGAAATTCTGGCCGTGGCGTGTGCCGCTGGGCTGCGTGGCCTGGGTTGTCCCCACGACGGCAGGGGGAGCTGAGGGGGCGACCCAGCTGGGTCTGCGACGGGCCCCTGGCCGCTCCCCCGGGGTCCCGGCTCCCCGCCTCCCAGGGACCCTCCCTCTCCCCTCTGCCCTGGTCTCCTGCCACCGGGACCGCGGTGCCCCATCGGTGTTGTGGGGTCGGGCGGAGGGTCGGGGGGAGGCCCCGGTCAGCATCTGCTCTCCCGGGAGGGGCAGGGTGTATCCTGCCACCAGCTTCTCCCCTGCTCCCGTTGAGCCCCAAGTGCTGGGCCTGTAGTTGAGTCACTTGCCCGAGTGGACCTGAGGCGTCCCCGCTCGGGCCCGTGGACTCCTGGGGATGTAGGAGGCACGAGACAGCGCTGGAGCCGGTGCTGCCGCCCCCCGCCCCGTGCGGCCGCAGACTCAGCGGTGGTGAGGACACGCTCTGATTTCAGGACCACCTGGTGTGCTTCCTGCCAGGGACGCTGGCTCTGGGCGCCCACCACGGCCTGCCCGCTGACCACATGGAGCTGGCCCGGGCGCTCATGGACACCTGCTACCAGATGAACCGTCAGATGGAGACGGGGCTGAGCCCCGAGATTGTGCACTTCAACCTGTACCCTCAGAGCGGCCAGAAGGATGTGCAGGTCAAGGTGAGCCGGGGCCGGGCTCTGGTGTGGGGGGGCGCCGGGGGCCTCGCCTGAGCTCAGCCCGTGTTCCCCCGTCCCAGCCGGCCGACAGGCACAATCTGCTGCGGCCCGAGACGGTGGAGAGCTTGTTCTACCTGTACCGCCTCACGGGGGACCCCAAGTACCAGGACTGGGGCTGGCAGATCCTGCAGAGCTTCAACGCGTACGCACGGGTGAGCCGCCTGCCCGCCGCCTGGTCGGCGTCCCGGCTCCTCACTGGCCACCTCGCCCCGGGCCGCGGGGATGGGGGTGGGGGCGCAGGCTCGCCGTGGCCTCGGGAGTTCGGGGAACGTGGGGGCCGGGGTGTCCCTTGGTCGCGTCTCGAAGGACCAGGCTCTGTGGGGAGAGCCCCTGCCGTGGCCCCACGTGCACGGGGCGCATCCTTCCCGGATCCGCCGTGTGGCCGGGGCAGCCCTTCTCCGCCCCGGGATGACCTCGGGGCCACCGCTCCCCAGACGGCGCCATGACCTGGCACTGCCCCCACCGTGCTCGGGGCCCTGCCGCCCGTCCTGCCGCCGGGGCCGTGGCTCTGAGGAGGTCACGCCCTGTCCAGGGCCCGCCACCCACCCTGGCAGAGCCAGAACCTGACCTCTGCCCTGTGGTGTGTGAGGCGGTGGGGTCTGGACTCCTCAGGTGATCTCGGGGCCTTCGGGAGGCGGCCCCTGGGTTTCGGCGGCGGCGCTTTCCATCAGGGCAGCTGAGGGGGGCTGGCACCTCTGAGGGGGTGTCTTGAGGAACTGTGGCTGACCTCCAGGGGGGCCAGTCCCCTGGTACACCTGGGGGTCACCCCCGCCCCCAGGCCCTGGCCTGGGCCGCACGCGCGTGCCCCGGTGAGGCAGGGAGACTTGGGGAGGGGGCCGTCTGGCTGCCGGGCCCGCACGCCGAGGGCCGAGCCCGGTGTGGGGAGCCGGCTGTGTCTGCAGCCATGACCCCGCGGTCTCGGCTTCGTGCAGGTCCCCTCGGGCGGCTACTCGTCCATCAGCAACGTCCAGGATCCCCTCAATCCCCAGCCCAGGGACAAGATGGAGAGCTTCTTTGTGGGGGAGACGCTCAAGTACCTGTATCTGCTCTTCTCCGACGACCCAGACCTGCTCAGCCTGGACGCCTACGTGTTCAACACCGAGGCTCACCCCTTGCCCATCTGGGTCCCGCCTAGGGGGGCCTGACGCCCCTGTGGGCAGTGCCTTGGACATGACCCGTCCTTGCTGTGATTCATGGTTTCCCGTCCACTGGAGGAGGCTTCTTCCTTCTTCCTGTGAGTCTTGAATCATGTTTACATTCCGAATACCCGACCAGCTTCGTCGGCCGGTGCCCGGGCTTCGTGGTGGTCCCTCGTGCCTGGTCGTCAGCCGGGGCTGCGCTGGGTCCCCCACATAGTGTTCAGAGACGAGAGCTGAAGGGACAGCCCGACATGCGGCTCAGCCTGGGATCAGAGCCTGCGACGTGCCCTGACCCGAGGGTCTGGGGGGGCGCCCGTGACCCCCTGCGCATCCGGGCACCTGGTGGGCTGTGGTGTTTACACGTTGGACTCAGGGATCCTCCCCTGGCCCTGCAGGGGCCGGGAGGGGCGGGTGGGCGAGTTCGTCCTGCCTCTGGACCACCCGCTAG